AAATGACTGTTTTATAATTTTTGTTAGATATTTCATAGATATAAAACAGTGTATTTCTAAAAATTTAAATGGTCTCAATGCATAAATAAAGAGGAGCTCTGTCATGTGATTCTTTCATTCTTTTACTTCAATGTCTCTGATCCAAATTTAATGCTTATAAAAGCAACAAATACAGAAGAGTATAGATTTACACTAAATTGCTAACTACAGATTTCTTGTTATCATTAATATTAATACCAGAGTGGTCAAAATGACTGTTTTATAATTTTTGTTAGATATTTTATAGATATAAAAACAGTGTATTTCTAAAAATTTAAATGATGTTTCATGGTCTCAATAAAGAGCTCTGTCATATGATTCCCTCATTCTTTTACTTCAATATCTCTAATCCAAATTCGACACTTTAGTCGTTGATAATTCTAGTTCATCATACATTTGTACATACAATATATTTTAATTATGAATCAGTTTGAGAATAATTGAACGTACAAGAGATAACCAAATAATAAAAACCCACTTCTTTCACTGAAAGAAACCATCATCACTCGTTAGATAATCTGATTCGTTCGAGCGCAAACAAATAAAAAAAGTCAGATGACACACGTGAACATGAACGTGCAGGTTTCATTTTCCCGCCAAGCAACCGGAGAGTTGCAAAGTCGTCGGCGCGTGTTGCCGGCTGCCGTGAATTTCCCGTCAGAAATGCGCGAGAGAGAGAGAGAAACTCTGTAATCGGGACTGGTGTCTCTCGGCCCGGTTCCAAACCCACCGGCGGGTAGGACAGAGAAGGGGCCAGAGAAAGATTTCTACACCCCCGCGGGAAATTCATGGGATAAGCTGGATAGGAACTCGTCCGCATGAAATATCCTTTCAATAAGCCCCGGTGATCCGTCGGTCGCTTGCCACGGCAGCCGACATTTTATTGCGCGGCTACACGCCCCCGTGTTCGAAAGAGGGACTCGATGCGGGAAACGATGTAAGCAGCGGATCCAGAGGGATGGAATCGCTCTTCTTCTTCCTTCTTCTTTCCACGACCTGCTCCTCACCTTGTCCCCGCGCTGCCTCTCGTCTTTTCCCACTTGTCTCTTTCGCAGATGTACGCCACGAAGTAGCTAACGGAAATGCCTCTCTTATTTGTACCGATCGAGTGAAATGCTACGCGTCCCTCCGCGACAAAGGCTCTCCGGCGAGAGCGAAATTCATGAAATCATTGTACAGGGTGTCCATAAAGTTTCTTTACGAGTTTAAACATTTATTACAGAGGCAAATGAGAAGACAGATAGGTGGAAGTTATTACAAAATGAGACGTGTATATTTAAGTTTTTTTCTACCTTATTTACTATACCTTTATATGGGCATCACGAAACACGGTACTCGATTGTTTACAGGATTGAAAGATCGTGTGAATTGTGTGAATTACAAAGAACTTATAACTTCTTGTATTATGTAAATTAGTAAGTTTTTATGGAATTATAGAAATAATGTATATTTCTATAATATATTTGATATATAATTATATAATAGAATATATTTTATAACAGAATAATATATATATATAAACTATATTAACTATATTAACTAATTATATAATAGAATATATTTTATAATAGAATAATATATATTTCTATAGTAGATTATAGAAATTAGAATTGTAATATTATATTTCATACTCCATTACAAAACATTTCTAGTTTTCTTACTTTAATATCTCTGATGAAAATTTTATGCTTCAATTGTCAGTTCTAGTGTCTAAATCATTTTGTAATATCATTTTGCAGAGTAATTGTAATGTAATTAATATGTATTTAATAAATTTATATGGAATTATAGAAATAATATATATTTCTACAATATATTTAATATATTATAATTATATAACAGAATAATATATATATATCTATTAACTATATATTAATTATATAATAGAATATATTTTATAATAGAATAATATATATTTCTATAGTAGATTATAGAAATTAGAATTGTAACATTATATTTCATACTCCATTACAAAACATTTCTAGTTTTCTTACTTTAATATCTCTGATGAAAATTTTATGCTTCAATTGTCAGTTCTAGTGTCTAAATCATTTTGTAATATCATTTTGCAGAGTAATTGTAATGTAATTAATATGTATTTAATAAATTTATATGGAATTATAGAAATAATGTATATTTCTATAATATATTTAATATATAATTATATAATAGAATATATTTTATAACAGAATAAAATATATATATATGTATATATATATATATATATATATATATATATATAAACTAATTATATAATAAAATATATTTTATAATAGGATAATATATATTTCTATAGTAGATAGAAATTAGAATTGTAACATTATATTTTTATATTCCATTACAAAACATTTCTAGTTTTCTTACTTTAATATCTCTGATGAAAATTTTATGCTTCAGTCGTCACTAATTCTAGTGTCTAAATCGTAACATTTTGTAATATCATTTTGCAGAGTAATTATAATGTAATTAATATGTATTTAATAAATTTATATGGAATTATAGAAATAATATATATTTCTACAATATATTTAATATATTATAATTATATAACAGAATAATATATATATATATCTATTAACTATATATTAACTAATTATATAATAGAATAATATACATTTCTATAGTAGATTATAAAAATTAGAATTGTAACGTTACATTTTATACATTTCTAGTTTTCTTACTCTAATATCTCTGATGAAAATTTTATGCTTCAGTCGTCAGTAGTTCTAGTGTCTGAATCGTAACATTTTTTAAATATCATTTTGCAGAGTAATTTATCAAATCAGTGCAAAAATATGTTACAGTAATGTTTGCACATGCTTAGCAAAGTGCTGTACACGCCATGCTAAATAAATATCAGACGTTACCCAACCATCGTACAAGGATAGGTTTTCCATCGTAGCTTTTATAACCCATTTCATGATGCATAAATTATTAGCTATACGTAGCAAAGCAACTTATCCAAGAAGATTGCGGCAAAAGAAGATCCGAGGTAAAGTTTCAAGGAGAAGAGAGAAGTTTTACTTTCCTTGTGCTTGCTTCTCTATTACCATCCAACTTCTCTCTTCTTTATGCGGACTCAACGTACACCCTCTTTGAATATATTAGTTCTTGCCAGACTTCTGGCATGCGATTTTACGCGCGACTTAACGAAAAAAAAAAAAAAAAACGAAAAGAGAAACCTAACAACGAGGTACAATTCAAATTCGCAGAAACGCGAGCCACTTCGTCCTATTTATTCTTTATTTTTATCCTCGTTTTGTCGTACCTGACTATTATTTTCTTTGC